CACAACCCGGGCCTGTGCCCTGACCGGGAATCGAACCCTGACCTCCTGGTTCATAGGTTGACGCTCAGCCCCTGAGCCACACCGGCTCCGTGAATGGAAGAAGGGACTTTGCATGACATAGATAAGGCCGTCATCACTTTCACACGCTGGAACCCTGCTTTAGGACCTGGTGTGTTCACGTTGCGAATGCAGACGAACCCCCTGCATCAGAGGCGTGCGTACCCCTGTCTATGTCCTAGTTGCCCTTCAGTCATTGTTCACGGCGAGTTATAATGAGCTCACCTATGCGTACCTCTTAGACCAGGGGTCCTCAAACTACGGCCCGCGGGCCACATGCAAATACAAATATTGTATTTGTTCCCGTTTTGTTTTTTTACTTCAAAATAAGATATGTGCAGTGTGCACAGGAATTTGTTCATAGTGTTTTTTAAACTACAGTCCGGCCCTCAATGGTCTGAGGGACAGTGAACTGGCCCCCTGTTTAAAAAGTTTCAGGACCCCTGACTTAGAATATCTATCTTGTTGGGTCATCAGAAGAACAGAACTCTCCAGGAGCCCACAGAAGTCACCAATGAAATCATCTTCCAGGTCTACCTTTTCATAGGCTGCCAGATAAAGGGCATGAAACCATCCAGCTTAGGTCAAAATGAGCCTATTCTCTTCCCTCGTTCCCCCTTTCCCACAGCAATATCGAAGAGAATAGAAGAGACAGCAAACACAGAAGTGAGCAAGAAGAGGAGGAATAAAGCCACCCAAGTCCCCTTTCCCAATGAAGGCTGTCTGCCATCTTGAATAAGGGCACCTACCTCGGTTGTAGGCTTGATCCCGGCCCTGGTTGGAGTGCATGGAGAAGGCAACCCATCGATATATCTCTCTCACATCCATGTCTCTCTCTCTCTCTTTCCTTCCCTACCCTCCCCTTCCCTTCTACTCTCTCTAGAAAAATATCCTCGGGTGAGGGTTAGAAAACAAATAGTTGCCCTGGCCAGTTTGGCTCAGTGGATAGAGCGTCGGCCTGTGGACTGAAGGGCTCCAGGTTCAATTCCGGCCAAGGGCACATGTCCGGGTTTCGGGCTCGATCCTCAGTCGGGGGCGTGCAGGAGGCAGCCGATCAGTGATTCTCTCTCATCATTGATGTTTCTATCTCTCTCTCCCTCCCTCTTCTTCCTCTCTGAAATCAATAAAGAAATATATATATTTTTAAAAAAGAAAACAAAACAAAAAGTTTCTGCCCCAGCCAGTGTTGCTCAGTGGGTAGAGCATAAGCCCTTGGACTGAAGGGTCCCGGGTTCGATGCCAGTCAAGGGCACGTACCTCAGTTGCAGGCTTGACCCCGGCCCTTGTAGGGGTGTGAGCGGGGAGGCAACCCAATCGAGGTGTCTCTCTCACATCGATGTTTCTCTCTGTGTCTCTCCCCCTCCCTTCCCGTAGCTCAAAAAACCAATGGGAAAATATCCTCAGGTGAGGATTAACCAAAAAAAAAAATTTTTTTTCTAAATATGGATGTTTTAACCTCACCCTCTCTGCCCCCTGCTGGCGAGAAAGGGAAGTTCCCTCTGAGAATCCATCAATATCCATATTACATCCCTTTCCCCCACCCCCTGCATGTCAACGCTTAATGCGAACATTATTTATCCCAATATTTCCGTTCCGCATGCATTCCCTCTGGCTTATTTTTTTTGCTCTTAAGCTCTTTGGAGATGCGGCCGATCTTGGCCTTTGCTTTAAAACAGCGGTTCTCAACCTGTGGGTCGCGAGCCCTTTAGGGGTCGAAAGACCCCTTCACAGGGGTCGCCTGAGACCATCGGAAAACACATCTATAATTACAGATTGTTTTTGTGGTGAATCACGATGCTTTCATTATGTTCAATTTGTCACATGCCCGGGTTGTGGGCTCGATCCCCAGCAGGGGGCGTGCAGGAGGCAGCCCATCCATGATTCTCTCTCATCATTGATGCTTCTCTCTCTCTCCCTTCTCCTCTGAAATCAATAAAAATGTATTAAATAAAAAAGATTAAAGGGTCGCGGCATTAGGAAGGTTGAGAACCACTGCTTTAAAAGGTTCTCGTGTCGGAATGGACTATTAGCTGCCTTTACGGGCCTTCATCACCCCCTTCTGCGAGGGTGGGGAGGGCATTGTTGTGGCGCAGCGAGACCCTGTGGTCACAATCCTCCACGTCGCCTCGGCCCTGGGCCATGCTGTTCCCCGTCGGGTGGATGTGGGTTTTCATTATATAGTGGATGTGAGTAGCTGTGATTCAAGGCCTTTGTCAGAAATCCCTTTACCGCCGCCCCTTCCCCCCGAAAAAGGACCCCCTCTCCAGAAAAATACATTTGCCCATGAAATCTTTTTTATTTAATCTATTTTTATTGATTTCAGAGAAGAAGGGAGAGGGAGAGAGAGAAACATCCATGATGAGAGAGAATCATGGATCAACTGCCTCCTGCACGCCCCACACTGGGGACGGAGCCCACAACCCGGGCCTGTGCCCTGAGCGGGAATCGAACCCCGACCTCCTGGTTCACAGGTCGACGCTCACCCCCTGAGCCGCGCCGGCTGCCGTGGGCCTGTCCTTAAAGGCATCTGCCTCCGCCCTGTTTGCTTCCATCCCACAGGCACCCCCCGGCCCGCCGTGAGCTGGGTGAAGAGAGGCGGGCCGCTGGGGGACAACATCTCCGTACTCCCCAATGGGTCCCTGCTACTACAGAACGTTTCCCGGCAAAACAAAGGCACCTACGTCTGCAGGGCCTCCAGCGCGCTGGGGAAGGCGGCGGCCGCTTCCGTCCTGCACCTGCTGGGTAAGTGTCCCGTCCGGCTGGGCGTGGCGGGCCTCCCCGCCCACAGGCTCCCCGTTGGTGGGTTATGGCGCTGAGGCGTAAACGAGATGGGCGTGCGATGCTTTACACTATGAACTAAGGGCTGCTCATCTCTCTCTCTCTCTCTCTCTCTCTCTATTGATGTCAGAGAGAAAGGGAGAGGGAGAGAGAGATAGAAACATCCATGATGAGAGAGAATCATGGACCGGCTGCCTCCTGCATGCCCCACACTGGGGATCGAGCCCACAACCCGGGCCTGTGCCCTGAGCGGGAATCGAACCTGTGACCTCCTGGTTCCTAGGTCGACATCCAACCTCTGTGCCACGCCGGCCGGGACTGATCCATTTTGCAGACATTGTCCCTGGAGAGGCCTCCCGCCTGCCCCGTGGCTCCCCTACCCCGTCCCTCTGGCGGGGAGGGTCCTGGCGGGTCCCTCTGGCCTGCAGTGGCCCCTCCCCCGGACTGTGGTCCCAGGGCCCGTCCTGGCCGCTGTTCCCACAGTTATTACCACCGGTTCCTGAGGGAAATGGGGTGTAAAGGACCCCACTTGCAGGAGCCAATGAGGGGAAAGGGGACATGTCATACCTCCAACAATCAGGAAGTACTTACAGTAAATAAATAAAGCGAAGAATAAATGCATTAATTAAACAAAAATAAAAAATGAAGGACCCCTTTGCGCTCAGTGATGGCTGACTCTCTGTGCACAAGACACAG